TTTCTTAGAACAAACCACAATTACTGGAAAAGACAGGTAATAACTACGTATCTCAGTATTTACTTCATTACTGGATGACAGGGAACCAGCATAGAATTTCATTTGCCTTTTAAAAGTATTTACACTTCTTAAATAAGGCATTTATTTTTGTGCCTTTAATCCTGACCTTTTCTGTTCTTTCTGCTTTGGTTCCTTGAGAACAATGCCTAGGAGAGTGGCCATTGTTCTTCACAGAGCTTGTTCTTTGGGGTTTTCCCCTGTCTGTCTGCAGGATGCAAAATTCCTTACCATTCTGTAATCCACAATCTTGTTACTGGGGCTTGATAAATCATCTTGACATGTAGTTGGGCAGCTAAGATGTCATGTCGAGTGTCACTCTTTTCAAGTGAACCTTTAAATATATCAATGCCATTCTTCAGTTTTTCAGACCCCAACTTCACACATTAATGTAGTACATCTTTCATGACAGAAAAGATCAGGCAGATTTGCATAGAATCATTTTCTGCTTTCATTTTATCTTAGTATAAATAACAATTTTTACATTAAAAAAAGTATAGTGACAGGAGAAGCAACATGTTCACACCTAATTCTGTCCTCAGATCAATACATGTCTATGCAGTTTTTTTTATTTTTATTCCTAGATCCTTAAGTCAGGCAAAAATGTCATTGAAGCCAGTGTGTCGCAGACATCTTTTCATGAAAATCCTTTCTTTAGGAATTTTTCCTCCTGAGAAGCTGAGAGGCCTCAGGAACAAAATGTAAACAATGATTATTTGCTGCTGTGGAATGCAACAGCTGCATCTGTGATTGGCCCATCTTGGATGTTTATGATTAATGGCCAATCACAGCCCAGCTAGCTTGGCTCTCTGTCCGAGCCACAAACCTTTGTTATTCCTTCCTTTCTATTCTTAGCCTAGCCTTCTGAGGAAACCTTTTCTTCTATTCTTTTAGTATAGTTTTAATGTAATAATTATCATAAAATAATAAATCAAGCCTTCTAAAACAGGATTTGAAGTCAAATCCTCGTCTCTTCCCTCATCTGAAAACCCCTGTGAACACCATCACACCAGTGGGAGTTTTACTCTATATAATATAATATTTGAGAAGGAACATTATACTTGTGGATCAGAAAGGCTAATTTTGTAGGTATCAGGCTTGTCATGCAGGCAGGTAATGTCTGGCAGTTCTTTTTATGCTGGGTGTTGGTGTAGGAGCTATTGCATCTCTTCCAACCTTTAATTTTGTGTAAAACTATGTGTCATTATTCATCCACACTGTCTATCCATAAAAAAAAAGAACAAGAAAAAGAAAAAAAAAAAAAAAAAGAAATAATACCTTCTAGGATGGAAGGTAAAAACTTTACTTCAGACTTTGTATCTCTTGGACTCGGTGAATGACTTGTCTGGTAAAGAACTACTCATCTGTGAAAACTACTGTGATATTGACTACTATTTTTTAAGACCCCTATTCAGTTTTAAAGATTTATTCTTCTGAGTTGCCAACCATTTACACCTGGAGCATCCATTTGAACACTGGGTTTGAGGTATCTCCAGTCAAATACTCAGGTTTTATAAAGTTTTAGAAAATATTGATCATGGTATCCAAAGCATATCTTATAGTCCATAGGTCTTTTTAAGTTCAATTTTGAGGACCAAAGAATAAGAAACTGAAGAATAAAAGTAATGATACGCTTTCATGTGCGGGCTTGAATAATCTCTGTAAGTAATAGAAATAGCATTACCCCACTGGGGCTGCCTTCAGATGAGAAATGACATGTAATGATATTTTAAAGGAATGCTATGTAGGTTAATTATTGAATGGTATCTATGCAGCTTTTGAAACCGGAGATTTACATTCTGTAGCAATTAAAAGGCCACCACAGGAGCTCACTGCTGCTTCTCAGTCCTGTCTGACCAGAACTGATTCCAAGATTGGACTTTGCTGTAAGAAGCAAGAAAAATTTAAGATAAAACAAGGGAAAGAAATGCTGACTCACTTTTCTTCAATTAAGACTTCACAAGAGAAGTTTATTTTTAGTCTTAGCAAATAACCTGGCGTTTTGATCTTCTGCAAGTATTTATACTTCTTTATTTTAATAGAGAATTTATATTTCTTTATTTTAATAACTCCCCTCAAGGCTAATATAAGCTAAGCATGTAAATCCCCAGAGAACTGATGGAAAAAGACAACCCCATTCACTTAAATGTAAAAATAAACCATTTGGCATGCAGAGAAGAATCTCATAAATTATTATTTCTTTTCTTTCTCTGTCATCTAGTACCTTCTTGGCCAGATTGAAAGCACATACAGTTTCCTGTTTGCATTTTTTTTTGCTTTGAAGTGATGGTGAATAGATTCATTAAATTAGAACAAAAAATCTGCTAATCTTTTGCTTGTCTTCTATTTCAATGGATGATCTAAAAGGCTGAAAGTATTTGTTGCAGTGCTATCTACAGTTTGTTGCAAGGGAAGTAACCTTAATCAGATTTTTAAGATATGTTTTCCTTCCAGCAAAATCTCCAGGTCACAGCTTTTCCAATTACACGGAGAAGAAGGCAAGGAGACAAAGCTAGTCTGGGGAGCTTTCTCTTTCAGCAGCAAAGTTTGCATTTCTTTTAATGTAGTTAAAACGTTTGACAGGAGAGAGTAGGGTTTAGTGATGTGAGGTGATTTCCAAATGAGTGTTAGCTTTTTGCTGACCTACTTTTGACTAGTGGTGTATTCTTGCCCATTACTTTTTGTCATTGAATAATGCTGATATATTAAGCTGTGTGCTTCAAGGGCATTGTAAAATTGCATGTAGGGGCAGGACTGAACTGTGAAAGTGCGAATTACTCTATCAGATCAAACCCAATTAAAAAGTGACAAGCACAGCAGGAGAAATTGAAAGCAAGGTTTATCTTTCATGTAACGTAAGAAGTCACTATATCGGTTAGAAACAAAGTGAGTGTGAAACAGATTCTCCACCTCTTCTCATCCCTCTCCAAAAATAAATAATATCTGCTGACTTTATTATCCAAAAGAATAAGCCCCTGAGTTGTAACAGCTCACACTGAAGGACACTGTGACAATGGCAAGAGAAGGGGAAGTACAGCACCCGAACACCTTGAAGCTATTTGCTATCAAAGTGTGCACCGGGCCTCAGGTCAGCACATTTGGGGATTGATGGATAGGGAGTTTGCAAGAAGTGCTGGCCGTTTTTATAAAGCTGTAGTGTGTCATTAAAGAAAGACTTGCCAGCTTGCAGGCTCTCCACAGTTCTACAGGAAGTGTAGGAATAAAAGCATGGTAAGGAAACTGTGAGCTTTTACTAAGCCCTGTAGTTGTTACAGAACTGCTGCAAGCTAGGTAAAGTTATTTAGTCTCCAGTGCCACTGCAGAAATCCCTATAAACCCTTTTGCATAACATCCATCAGCACTTTTCTAATGAGTAATTGGGCCTGTGAATGTATAAACTAATGCCTATGTACAAATATAGTTTAGGCATAATGCCTATGCCTAAACTAATGTCTATGTACAATAAAATATTGCAGAATCCTGCTTCCAGACTACTGGGGCTGTGGTGGGTTTGGGTTTTTTGATTGTTTCAGGTTTTTTTGTTGTTTGGTTGGTTTGCTTGTTTGCTAATAAACTCTAATAAACTCATATATCAAGCAAAACAAAACAAACAATGAACAAGTAAATCAACCTTGCAACATGTGTTCTATACTTGCCGTTGCATTGCAGACAGTTTCAGTGATGTGTGACTGCTGTGTGACCTGGTGCACACCACCTTCTGCAGACAGTCGATGTTACACTGACCCTGATGCTTGCTGCTAATGGTGTTACCTCAGTGAACTCCTCTGTGTGTAAACTTTAGCACAGCTGATTTGGCTAATGCTGAGTTTTCAGGTCAGGCTTTGGTGGGTGACATTCAACTTCATGAGGGGAAAAAACCCAACAAACACAGAAGGGAAAAGCTCTTGTGTGTAAGCTGTGCTTGGAGCCATCGTATTGTAAGGAAGATGGGGGAGATGAGTGTGTAAACTCACAGGGAACCTGACCCATTTAGCATGTTTTCCCCATAGAACAGTGATGCTCTGTAGGATGCCTCTTCATATAAAATATATATTTGATGTACAATGAACTAAGCCTTTAAAAGAGACCAAGTGATTTACAGTTCTACGAGACTTGGACTTTGTAAGCAGCTTATAGGGAGGAGGGAAGAAAAGTTGTCATATTGTGGAAATGGTTATTATCTAAAAGCCTTTTTTTTCCTGGAAGAGGTTTACTTTCTACCATTGATGGAGTACCAATGGTCATTCAAAAGAACAGCTTTGTTGTTGTGTATTATGGTAAGTAGTCTTTTGGAGTGTCTTCTGGGTGAAGAAGTTGTAGGGGCTAAGAGAATGTCTAGGTCTGAGCTTTAAAAATAAATAAACACACACACAACTATCTCCCCAGACACCAAACCACAAAATACCCCTACTTAAATTTCATAACAATCTTGAGTGGTATTTCTTTTCATTGTGTAGTGTTTTAGTTTTATCAGAAATGTTTGATACAAGATTGATAACTATTTAAAGGACTGTTGTGCATGGACTGGTGCATTTGTAAGGCTGGCTTACTTCTCCTAAAGGTAAAGAGGAGTAATGGGTAATATTTCTTTTTTTGTGGGGATGATTTTTTTTTAGCTGTCATTGTTGCCTTTGTTTTTTATTTTGTCAAGAGGAAGCTTCTGCATACTGTGTGTTTGTTAGTCTCAACATTTTTCTGGCCCAGCCAAGAGGTTAATGCATTTGTTATTGATCTATTATTATAATATAGATATAATAGACTTTCAAGGAAAAAGGGAGAAGACACCCACACTGCAATTTGAATGTGAAAAAGATTAATGAAATTCTTATTCCTAACTGACATGTGTAAAATATGTGGGTAAGAGATGAGTTGGTTTAAAAAAAGAAAACCCCCTCAGAACTGTAAAGTTATATCATTACCTAATTTTGGCCTTTATTTTGCAGTGACCAGTGTAAAAGAAAATGCTGAGAAGTACATGGAGATTCTGGAGGATAAACTACATAGGTAAGGATGGTATCATGAAAACCTTTGAAATCTTAAAAATGCTTGTACATGCAGCATTGATATGCATAAAAGTGTTAGGAACTTGCATTAGAATAATACCAAAAATAGTTCAAAGTAGGAAATACTGTTTGTGTTAAGAGCTCTGTTCATGGCTGCATTCAGCAGCCTGGCAATGGGTGCAGGTAAAAGAAAGAATCACTGTGTTCTCCAGTGCAAAGGGCTGCTCTGGAGCAGCAGTGGTCTAGCCTCAAGTGTTGGGGATATGACAGCTGGGTGAAAAATCACCTATGCAAAAACCAACACTGAGCAGGGCCCAAAGAATCCCTTAGCAGAGTTCTGGACATCTTTAGCAAATAATGACAGTCAATATAACAGTTTTGAAAAAATGCCAGTGTGGGGTATTGGAGAGAGCAAATACAAACCAAGACAACAGTAGAGATATTTTAAGAACTGAATCCTTATGCAGAATTTACATATTTTTATGCCTTTTTTTTTTTTTAACAAACACTAACATTTCTATTTCCTTCTCTTACTGTGTGAAGAGGGTTCTAGGTGACCCCTCTGACTTTAGGATTCTCCTTGAAATATGGTTAGCAAATATTACAGTGCTGTTGTAATGGAATCTTCTAGTGAGTGAACTTTGCCCTGAATGAGTATATTTGTATTTTAAAAGGCTTTCATGTGTTGTAATTGGAGTTTGTGTCTTAATAAAATGTAATCCACCAAATAAACACCACTTCCATTTCCATTACTAAGCAGGTATAATTAATAAATTGTTGCCCTTGCTATTTTTTGTTCTATTGATAAAGATAAGGTTTTATATATTTTGCTCACTCATGCTTTTGAATATAGAAATATTTATTTTACTCAACTCGTAAATTTAAAAGATATTCCGATCTGAATGAAAAAATGATGGTGAAGATCAAGCTTTGTTTCTGTGTGCTGCTTAACCCTCTCTTAATAACAATTTTACTCCATATACCTCAGTCCATAAGTTTAAGACAAGTCTTAAGGACTTTGTGTGCTGTCTTTTTGAAAACCATACTCTTTATTAAAAATAAAGTATAGCAACATGTTTTGATGCTTCTAGAGTGTATGGATTTAATTGATGTATCAGGCTCCCAGAAGGATGTAAATTTCTCTTTAAGTGTTAAATACTTAGAGAAGCTGTATGTTTGTTTCTCCTTCCAGAGGTTTATCAGATAGAATTTGCAGGTCCCAGATGGTGAAGATTCAGACCTGAACTTGTTTTCCAAGATGTGCAAATGGTATTAGTCTAAAAATAGTTCAAGTAATTAAGAGCTAAGAATTTGAATACTGATGGAAGAGAAAATCTTTAATGTTTTTATGAAAAAGAAGTTTCCAAGATACTATGTCTTGAAAAATATTTTATTTTTATGGTATTTTAATTTTAGGTGATTATATATATTTGTTTTTTTATAGGTTCATTTTAGTTTCTTTAAGTAGTTAGCTACACCTGTTTTACAGCTTGAGCAATAAAATAGAAAAGCAAGCAAGAGCCCAAGAGGCTTCCCTGAACCCTGCCCCTGCTTAGAGCAGTAACTTGAGAGAGTTTCTCTTTTTTGGTCTTCATATAAATGCTCAGATTACTCATTTATATATATCATAAGCTAAAGAAAGGGTCTCTAAGGAAAGTTTAAAGAGTAAGTTTTAAGATTACATTTTAGACAGAGATAGAATTTGCATCTGGCTTGTGGATGCACTTTTGCGGAGGCTCTTGAAACCAAAAGAGAATCAAGTCTGGGTAGCATGAATTCAAATAAACCTCTAAAGCTTTTCTCCAGATGAAACCTATAATTTTGCCAGGTAATGTTTCGAATAGAAACAGTCTAGATTGAGATCACTTCAATTTAAGATACAGCTTCAAAGTAAAGCAGAACTCTTAGAAATGTCATTTTTGACCACTTTGTAACAGAAGGAAAAGGAAGTTAATGAAGAAATCTCTTGACAAAACAGCTTTAATGAAGATTCAAGTTTCAAAAAATCAATTTTGTCAGTTAATTTCCCTCCCTCCCTTCCCTTTTCTCCTTTATTTTCTTAAGAAAAGTTTGGAATATATTCCTCTTGTCCGTTTGTTTTTTGTTTTTTTTTTTAATGGAGAGAGGGGAGGGTAACCTAGCTGATATGCTGGAATACTTTTTGGGGAGGTGGGGATTTTGGGGTTTTTTGTTTGTTGGTTGGTTGGTTGGTTGGTTGGTTGGTTGGTTTTTAAAACAAATGCAATACTTTTCACTGCGACCTAAAAGATGCATCCATTGTCAGGTAGCTTACTAGAATATGTTTCATTAGGAATGCTACTCTTTTGATAGCCTTGTATCTAAAGAAAAAAATGGGAAAACATACATTGGCAAAAAATGGAAATATGTTCAGTAGATGATAGTTTCACCCCAAAGAAGGCAAAGCACCCACTAAGTATACAGATTACTTGACACTCTTTTTTCCTGATTTAAAATGTAGGTTATATTCTGACAGGGGACTGACAGTCGTTGAAGACAGTATCCTCCAATAAAAGAATGAACAAATAGCATGTTTAATAAGCTGCTGGCTGTCTCTTCCCTAGTCACCAACATACATCAAGCCATTCTCCAAGTTTATACATTAAATAACTGGCTGCTCTCTTGAGAGTGTAAATACCATTGATTACCTTTTGTTAGGAAACAGGAGATGTGCAAAAGTGGTGAGAGTTAGAATAATAAAAGTGAGTTCAGCAGAGACCTTTGTGTGAATATCTGAAGTACAAGAAGTTTTGTGTTGGTAACTTCAGCTCATCACTTGAGCCATTTAGGAGGGATTGTACAGGAGAAGTTTACAGTAATTGCTCTAGCTCATTGAAATTCAGATGAGCATCTTCTCATGGGACCCTTGTTCTGCCACAGAAAGTGGGAGTTTTTTTCATTTCACTTATTTCTACACCAAGTGAAGGCTTTGCTAGCACTTTATATCATTACCATGAATAAAGTGGACTTCAACCATCCAACTCTTTCAAAAACCACCAAGTTCTGCCATAAGTCAACTTTAGTCATGTAAATGGGTGAGGGTCACAAACTGATCCTAGTCAAGAGTGCTGTAAATGCCATTAAAGAGTTCATCTTGTGCTGTTAGTGCCTGTGTGTCATGTTACAGAAACTCTGATGCCTGCTATAGGGAAACTGCTGTGCTAAGGCTACTGAGTAAGTCTTTCCAAAAGGTTTTCCCTCTTATCTGTGGAGCAGCACAGGCATGCTTGGAAGTGCCAGATGGTCTGTGGTAATTTTGTGTAACCTATGACCCCCCTCAGTTGTGCTGAGGGCTGTTGCAGCTGCTGGTAGTATCTTAGCAGTGCACAGATAGGACTGAAATGTCATCTTTGCCTGCCTGCCCCCAGGACTGTGTGTTTTCTACTGTGCTTCCATGAGACTTCACAGCCCCATCCCTCGCTGGATAATGATCTGATCTTATTTTGCTTACCAACAGTTCTGCTGCTGGAGTGTTAAAATGCAGGTTAGACAAAATATTAGATCCTTCTAGTGACTAATTTAGTTCCTTTCTTCTTCCCAGCTGGTCTAAGTCATACACAGCTGTGAGAACATTAGCTCCAAAATTCTGAGAAGCAGACACTTTATATGTGGTGATGCATTCCTTTATATCTCTTGGCCCACATGGTGATGACTTCTAAATCCCTTATCATAGCTGCCTCAGGCTGGAAACAATTTTTTTGTGCCAGCTGATGTAAAGATGACATTTCTTGAGCTGAGGGAATTTAATGTGATTGTACTGTTCTCCAGACCTCAAAAGATTATGCTGTGACTTCCATTCATCACAAAACCAGGGCTTTTAAGGGGCTTTTCCTAATTCCCAGATAGGAATCATGAAATTATTTTTGGGGAATAATATTATTCAAGAATAACTGATGACAATTACACAAAGGTGTTTTATTGAGCTATTTTCTGTGCTATCCTGCAAGAAAGGGAAAGTGCATAAATATAACAAGATGCAATACTGCAGTGACTGTACTTTGCCATTGTTGAATGATACAGCACCAGGTAAGTTTGCAAATGTATGCAAAACCTTTCTTCTTTAACTGACTCTCTTCTGCTGTTTGTCTTGGGTTCATTTTCTGTTCAACAATGTTTGTTTTCATTTTAATGGTGCCTTAATTTTTACTCATGGATACACAGTAGGGAAAATGTCGTGGAGTCTTACTCTGATGTAACTTGTGCTCATCTGCATGGCTCCTCGTTCACTGAGGTGTTAAGATAGTTGGTTGCATTTATTGAAGCAGCAGAAATCAAGCTCAAGGTCTGTTTTACCTGATCTCATGTGTGGTTTTTCTTTTAGGAGTTTCAATCAAATGTGCCTAATTTGCCTAATTCAGAACAAATATGGCTGCAGCCTGGTTGCTCAGACTGCTAAGGGCATGCACATTTTCTCTATCAGAAACAAGGGTTTCTCATGCAGGCAGTGCTTTTAATGCATTTGAGGATGTCATCTTCACTGAGATCTTGCCCCTTCAGGCAAGACATAAGATCTTCTGAGGGTCCCATGCCATAAGAGGACAGGTCAGGACTAAATGCCACCACGTCACCTTCCAGTTTACATGAAAATGAACAGTCTTAGAAGTTACTGTCTTTCCTTACTATTCACTGTTAGCTTACATACCACATGCCTCACATCTCCTTTATAAAATACTGTTTCAGAAATGGTTTTGGGAGCAGAGCTGGGTATGAATGCTCTGAATAGTGCAGCACACTAAAAGGACAGTGTTTCACACTGCTGATGGTCTTAAAGGTAGCCTCACATCAAAAGGACTGTGTATCCTTGCAGATTTGTAGCTCTCTTTCTCTGTTGTTCCTGTATGTATGGAATATTTTGTGGTTTAATTTAACATTGATTATATAGGTGTAGTTTTCCCACCTGTGTTGTTTGCTTATGACTTCAGGCTGTTGTTTATGAGAAGTCCTTTTCTTCCTGGAAAAAATGCCCTTGGATGGCAGTGAAAT